AGGAGGAGGACGAGGAGGAGGAGCAGCAGGAGCAGGAGGAGGAGGAGACGAGGAGACGAGGAGACGAGGAAACTAGGAGACGAGGATACGATGAGACGAGTAGGAGGACGAGAGGGCAGGAGGGAGGAAGGATGAGGAGGCGGAGGAGAAGAGGAGGAGGAGGAGAGGAGCAGGAGGAGGAGCAGGAGGAGGAGGAGGAGGAGGACGACGACGACGACGAGGAAAAGGAGGAAAAGGAGGAGGAGGAGGAGGAAGAAGGAGGAGGAGCAGGAGAAGGTGGAGGAGGAGAAGGATGAGGAGGAAGAGGAGGAGGAGGAGAAAGCGGAGGAGGTGGATGATGAGGAGGAGGAGGAGGCGGAGGAGTTGGAAAAAGAGGCGGCGGAGGAGGAAGAGGGGGAGATGGAGTTGGATGATATCGAAGGGGAGGACGGGTGATAATGAGAAGGAGGATGAGGAAGAGGAATAATACGGCGAAGCCAACTGCCACATTGGTGCCACCAATTCCAATTCCAGGAGGAGGAGCGGGAAGGACAGGAGGACAAACAAAAGAGTGGCCAGTGCAAGCCCCAGACCCATCAACGATGTTGTAGTTTCTTGTCTTTCCAATTTCCATTTGTGTCGGCCCCTGCAAGATTAGTTTTTGTGGACGGAAGTTTCCCCAGTGGAACATGAACGTTGTCGGGGATCTTGAACCGCACCAACACATCATTACTGGGATTGCCGATCCGCGAATCAACCTTATTTGCTGCGTCCCGACGATCCTGCACCTTGCCAGAACACCATTCCTGGGACTTCAACACTGCGACTCAACGTAACTGTTGCGCCTTGGCTGTCGCACATCGTTCCAAAGCACCATTTTTGGGGACATCAACCAAAGACAACCTTGAAGCTGTTGCGAATGCTCACGACGACTGCACGCGGCGCCAGTGCAAAAGCCACATGTTGAAGACCGCCCGCCCTCCATTCGTGAAGCGTATGCAAACTTTTAGGACGAATGTTTGCGGCGCAAAAGCGAGAACCACATTTTGAAAACCGCCCGCCCTCCATTGGGGAAACAGTTGCGACAACTCAGACGAGTGAGCACGGCGCCCAGACCAGAGTCACGTTTTGAAAACGGACCGCTGTGCACACATGAGGCCGTTAGAAAAATTCAGTTTAAGGGTCAGAGGTGGTGAGGGAGTATCAGGCGAAACGACCACACCGCCCTACCGACACGCTGTGCGACAGAGAGGATTTGCTTATAAGGGGAACGATTTGGATGAGGATGAAGAGGGCGACGATGGCAACGTCAACTGTGTCATCGATGCCACGCCACCAAGTCCAGGTCCAAGAAGGAGGAGAAGGAGTGGGAAAAGGAGGAGGAGGAGGAAGAGGAGGAGGAGGAGGAAGAGGAGGAAAACCACTGTGCATACAAGATCCATCAGCGATGTTGCAAAAAAACGCTCCTCCAAGCTCCCCTTGTCGATGGGTCCCTAAAATAGATTCGTTTTCAATGAGGGAAGCTCCCTGTTGGTAAGGACACCATGGAAATCAGCGTTACCTTGGTGCCCTGACGATCCTGATCCGTGCCAGAACACCACTTATGAGATGACAACACCACGGATGAACGTAATTGTTGCGCCCTGACAGTCTAACATCTTGTCACAACAGCTGGCCCGGACGTCAACCATAACCATATACGAATAGGTCGTAAGTTGTTGAGACGAGTGTGCGCGGCGCTCCAGCGAGAGCCCACATTGTGAAAACAAACGCCCATCCACCCGTGAAAATTTGCAACCTTTTTGAAGACGAGTGTGCACCGCCCCAAGGCGAGTATCGATTTTTGAAATCCACCCGCCCTCCATCCTTGAAGCTTCTGCAAAGTTTGAAGACGAGTGTGCTCGGCGTTCAGGCGAGGACCACGTGTTGCAAATGGCCCGCCGTGGAACCGCGAAATTTACGTTTGAAGACGAGCGCGCGCGGCGAGAAGGCGAGCGCCATATTTTGAAAACGGCTCGTCTTCGGTCCGTGAAACGTCTGCAATGTCTCAAGACGAGTGCGCGCGGCGCTGAGGCGAGAACCACAGTTTGAAAACGACACCCCCTCCACCCGTTAAAGTGTTGCATGTTTCGAGCTTGCGGGTCACGGATGGTGAGGAAGTCTCGGGCGAAGCGCAGGGCCCGCCCTACTGACACATTTCGGTGTGCGGCAGGGAGGGGTTACTTCTAAGGAACAGGACTGGACGAGGAGGAGGAGGAGGACGAGGAGGACGAGGAGGACGAGGAGGAGGAGGAGGAGGAGGAGGAGGAGGAGTGGGAGAGGGCCCTCCCGACAGGTGCTGTCGACTTTGCGGGAGCGGTGGCCGCCTGGCATGAGTCTGGCTCGGTCGCCTCGATGTCAACCTCGAGCAGCGCCGCTCGGGACGTGCCCCAAATGAGGGAAACATGGCCCTGCCCCTTGCCGTGTGCTGGATGGAGTCCAGATCAGGTGGAGCCAGTCGCTCCACGTTCGCTGGGCGCTGGCGGCTTCCTCCTCGTGAATTCGGAGCCAAGTTGCTTGAATTAGCGCCGCCAGTTGACCGAGGCGCTCAAACCAGAATCGTATTGTTTATTTGCGGGCGCAGCCCGAAATTTGATGCTTGCCAGGTGGCATTCGTATTGGACTGAATGAATATAATCGAAAGGATTCGAATTGAATGGCCAGGGCGATTAGATGACAGTTTTACTCCCGGCGGGTGAGAAGATTTCGATGGTAGGTTTAAGCGAGGGTAGTGAAGATGATTGGATGAGGGGGAGGACATATCGCAGGCACGTTTGCCCCATTGGGGCCAGAGGGTGAGGATATATTGTTGCCAGCTTTGAGCCAGGGGGTGAGGAAAAGTCGCTGGCACTTTTAGGCTAGGGAGGTGAGGAAAATGCGCCATCGGATTTAGGCCAGGGAGGCGGTGTGGGCGAGGATGTTTCGCTGTCAGTTTTTGGTCAGAGGGTTAGGACATATCGCCGGCAGTTTTCAATAGGCCAGGGAGTGAGGTATTCGCTGGCAGCTGTAAGGCAGAGGGGCGATGGTATGTCGCTGCCAGTTTTGCGCCAGGGGGTGAGCTGGCAGTTTTCGGCCAGGGTTGTGAGGATATCTCGCTGTCAGTGTTAGGCCATGGGGATGCTGTTATGTTTCTGCCAGTTTTGAGCCAGGGTGGTGATGACATGTCGCTGGCACGCCAGGCCAGGGCGGTCAGGACGGGGGGCGGTGATATTTCACTGGCAGTGTTGGCCAGATGGTTCGGATATTTCGCTTGCTTTTGAGGCCAGGATGGTGAGGACGTCTCGCCAGCACTGTTCTGTCACGATGGTGAGGGATGTCGCTGGCACTTGT